AACCCCTATTACCAGCGGCCCCTTAAGACACAAACCTGGGGTTTCCTGTCACTGAGCTGTTCCATATAAATAATCTTCGTTGAAAATTAAAGCTTTCGAATTTGTTATCAGTGATGGATCGTAACAGCTGGTAAGAAAATGGCCGGAAATCTCCATGTTTTGCACATACCTTCGAGTCGGCCAAAATCCGGCCTGTTTTCTCTCAATAAGTAAGACGGGGAGTGCAGTTTTTTTCTTTCAGTAAGGGGTTTTCGAAGCCTCACGTCTATTCAAATCAAGACAACAAAACCGAATGTACGCCTAACCTTGTCATCCGAATTTCAACCATGACATTGCATAAGTTAAGTCATCTGCAATACCTCAAATTCCTACGAGTATACCATAGAAGACGCATAAGGTTTTTTCGAGAATCTGGTCAATGGCTTAGTCGGGCGGGATTCAGGACAAAATACAACCTTGTTGAACGCGAGGACAAATAGATAAGGATCAGGAGAGGTCTTAGTGACCTGGAGCCCCCACATTATCAGAACAATAACAGGCCGTGGTCATGGCCGTAGTTTTACTGGCGTACCCTTTTTATCCCTTATCTCCCTCCGGGACTCCTGACCACCAAACATTTTATTCAACACACATACTTACTATACTACTCACGCTAAGCGAGTAGACACAATTTATTAATATTTCGACCACCAGGTTTTCCCTCTTCAGTTGCAAACATGCAATTGAAGTTTTTTTTCATTTTTCTTTTTTATGCCCGCATATTTTAGCCACCCTTTTACTAATAGGGAGCTCAAATGCATTCACCTATCCTCCCAGTAAACTGATTCTGATACTGGGCCGGGCGGAATGCTGCGACAAAATCCGTGATACAGACGGCCGTTGGTTGCTGGTAGATATGGTTAACTTCAAGAATGTGCTGCGTTGGGAATACGTGGTCGTTGCATTCACGCCCATCTCGAAAATACTTGCCTGAACCTCTTCCTATAGTCATACACGTACTGAGAAACTGCTCGAAAATAGTAAAGAACAAGACCTCCGCAACGGAGTCGACGAATCTTATGCAGCAGTGGGTATCAGGCGTCCTATCTCGAAGACAAACACTCAGATGGCCGAGGCAGGTCATCAGGAGAAAAAAATCGTTTTTCTAGGTTTGCTCATTCATCTGATGAAGCCGAAGTGCGAAACTTTCGGCACAAGAATTGTGGACTTTTTCTGAGAGGTGAA